GAATTAATCCTATCAATAAAGCAAAGCCACCTTTCTCCACACTGACCATATTTAAGCCCTAGAAAGTGCTAAAAAATAAAAGCATTAACTGGGCCTAGCACACTTCGCACAGTGACATTTGCAGGAGCCAAGCGGTCTTTTCTTTTTAAGATATGAACAAAAGGCATTCTGCAAGCAATGCAGATACTGACTGTGATAAACTGCCTGTCTCACTCTCTGCTCCATCTGTGAATCATTTAGTTCTCCTACTGGAGATTCATTATAGATACAGAACTAATAGCAACCCACAGGGATCTAGAGCGATTCCAAATCGACTATTATGTTGGGAATAAACTATTTTTCTTGCTGGCTTTCAATCATCTACCTTAACAGACCTGTCAGAAATGCAGACAGATTCCGTAGTTATTGAGAAATGCAAAAATAGTCCCTTTATTCTGCAGTTTCTGCGACAATTTAAACCTTTTAGTACTGCAACTATGCTAAAAGACAGAAGAGGGCTGTTTTACGGTGTGATTAAAACGGTAAGCTACAATGCTATAGAAAACAGGGGGTATTTAATATTAATTCCAGAACAGACGCCTATGGAATCACCTTATTCCCTACCCAGGAAAGTGAATCTGAGACTCTGGCGCTCCAGAAGAGCTGGGATAACCGCACCGCGGCTCTTCTCCCTCTCTCTCCTACCTCCCCCTTTAGAGGCGCAGGAGCAGGCGAGCCACAGCGCTGCCTCAGCCTCCACTAGCAATCACGGGCCGCTGGGGATGCCAGGCCTGCCCTCCCCCCGCCGAACAGCTGCCATCAAAGGGCACTCCCTGCTCGCCAACAGCTTCCAGGCACAAGCCCCGGGGGCTGCAGCCCCGCCCGGGAGCCGCAGCTCCTCCCCGCTCCTTCCTCCTCCTCTTCCTCCCCCTCCCCCCAGCCCTCTTTAGCGAATAGAGCCCCGGCCAAGAACCGCGCACCGCCCTGCTCGCAGAGCGGGCTCCTCCGGGGGAGGAGACGGGGCACAGCAGCGCCAGCTGGGACCGGTTCCACCGCCCCCGGTCTCCCGCGGATACCGACCCCCCTTCCCCCACCCCGAAT